TGAGCCGACCTGTGACAGTCTCATTGTCACAGGTCGGCTAGAACTATGAGGTGAGTGAAAAGCACTCACCTCATAGTTCTCCTTTTAATGAATTCCAGGTAGTCATGTGATGTTTGTGTCCTTTTTCGGTGTGAATGTTTACATGCAAGCGATCAGGCATTTCTCGAGACGCCCAATCGCTCGTACTGGCTGCGGGTGTGCGCCCCCCGTACCGGCGCTGCTGCTGGTCCTGAGATCCGGTGCGGCGCGGACAGACACGGGGGAGCTGGAAGTCCCTTGCCCCCCACATACACACGCAAACATGCGTCTGGTGCGCCAACGTGCGAAAACAACGATTCCACCCATTACACCGCACATGTTCCATATCACCGCGAACGACGGAATGAGTAATAATTTTAGGGCCATTCATTACTGATAACACTAAACTGATGAGTGGTAAAAGCGTTTAAAATGTCGCCTATGGCCAATTTTGGGTATGGTAGTTTTCTGCGATTTTCGCGGGCGCGCACAATTTTAACGCTTGCCATGTTTTGTCTATTTACCGGACGTGACCCCGTCTTTTAAATTTTGGCAAACAATTGGGGTGATAAATGTTTCATAACATTTATTAGGGAAACAGGTTTTTTCCCCCAAAATTTAGGGTACTTTTTAAATTGTATAGTCAAAAATAAAAACCCCAGTGGTGATTACCACCAAAATAAAGCTCTATCTCTCCCCAAAAAATGGTATAAAATCTCAGTACAGGGTTGCATGATGGAATAAACGTCAAAGTACTGCAGCGCTGAACACTGAAAAATGTCCTGGCCAGGAAGGGGTGAAACACCTCGCTCTTTAAGTGGTTAAAAACCCCTTCCACCCCTTTGTCTCTCAGTTATTGATTGTGTTTCTTACCGTCCAGGTCTGCGCAATGTTTATTTTATCTTGACTGGATGGCCTTGAAGTGAGCTGTCCCCCTCTGTGCAGCTGTGCTGAGTGTGCTTATCTGCTTTGCCTGTTTTCTCAGTGGACCCTTTTTCAGTGTCTGGTTCTCTTCCCCTTGTTTGGTTGTGAGACAGACTTCCAGCGTTCTTCCGCCAGGCTGATGTCCATTCTGAGGTTTACCTGTTTTCATTAGGGAATTTCGGGTCTCGTGGCATGGCGGTGGTAGAGGAGCTGCTCCTTCTGTACTTGTGGCCCGCTCCAGATATGAGAGCAGCGTCTCAAAGATGGAAGTGCTAGTGTAGTTAATCCACCCCCCTTTTCCCTTGGCCATTCACAGAACGCTGTGTATTCTTTGAACCAGTTACAGAATACTTGAATAAATAACACTATCTCTTCCATCCGAGACTCTCCCCTCTCGTATCTGGAGGGGGAGGATATACAGCGGAAGATGAAGGAAAGTATGGATTTTGAGGTACAGGCTAGCGAACTAGACATTTAGTACACCATAACGATCTCTCTGCCTGCAGTTCTGCTTTTACATTTCATGTCGTGGTGGGTGACGACTGATGTCTACGTTTAGAGGTGTTACTACACATCGTAATCAACATACACAAATGTGTTAGAAATTGCAAACATCATGTTTTAGCGCTGCTGCTGTAGTGTTATTATTTTCCCACGCTTTCCGAAAGGATCACAGTTCTTCATCTGAAGGAGCCACTGGGGAAGAATGTAGTGTTTAATCCTCCCTGGAGAAAAGCTAGTGTTGGCTTGTTGATAAATACAGGAAATGTAATAATAGTAGTTAGCTTCTTTCCTGTTTATAATATAGATAATTTGCCTCATCTTTGGTTTCTCAGGGTCTATAATTCCCAAAAGGCCACCTCTGATTCACCTTTTTAAGCTCTCTGTTAAAAAGGTTCTGTGGTAAACATTTAATACAGTGGTTTGATTCCGTATGTAAAACATTTGCATTTTTAATACAGTAGTCTATTTTAAGGCTTTAGGAAGGTCTGATATTTTATACATATGTTCTCATAAGGTGACTGAGAATAGCAACTACATGTAATGACCCTGTCTACAGATCATTAATTTAAAAACCTGCACATGGTTTGCCAAGGGTAATAGTGATATTTAGGGACACTGCATCTTTCTCTGCAGCTAAATGGATCGGGATATTTTACATCAATTGGCCTGTTGCTGATGACTCCTGTGTATGCAATATTGATGAAAGGTTAAGGCAGTTCTAGGATCCACTTACAGTAACTATGAGTATCCAAAAATTTATAGTGGCCTCCCCAAATCCACTGTATAGCTGCCCCTCACACTTGGAGAAAGAGTGTCATCACATTGAGCTGAACAGTTTTCTAATGCTTTGCACAGCAATCCACATGCAAATATTTTACTTTTTTAACTTTAGGGCCTCTGCACATCGCTGCATTTTTCCCTTTATGAATTTTCGGTTGAAATCAATGAAAGTCCTCACCACTCATGTTAACCTGCTGTTGACATGGGTTATAATGCATTTCCATTTATCTCAATTTAAAATGCAGAGATGTAAAAAGGAGTTTAGTTTTTACCCATTTTGAGAGAATAAGAGTAAGAATTTTGGTATTAGTTTTGAAATGTGATTTGAGCAGCCCCAGCAAACTCAGAGCTGTCACTCAGGTGACACCCTGTATCATTTCCCCCCTTTCTCACTCATCCCCGAGCAACGACATGAAAGGTTATGTGGGGAGTTGAGGAAAGGGATGGAGCTGCTGGGCCAGCAAAGTGTAATTAGAGGCTTCCAGAAGGGGGCATTGACAAGCCAAAAGGTGGTAGGGTGGTGAGTTAGGGAATTGACTTTTAAAGCTGGGCTGGCCATACACTGGTAGAATTTTGTCCGAGTGATGTGGCTCCATCTGGACAACCCAAAAGAAGCTGGTCCAAAAGGGGAGACCTGAAACCAAAGATACTCATTTCGGCAAATATAAACCTATCCTCAGTAAGTGGGTGCTATTTCTTATTTAGGCAACCTATGAATTATGCTGAGCATAATTGAAGTTCGCCACCGGTATCTCTTGGTGCCTGCAATTAACTCTCAGCATTGGTTTTCTACGTGCTCGCATTACAAATTTGTGTGTTTGCTAATTATTCCACTTTCTTTTTTTTTTTTTTTTTTAATGGTGATTTGGCATTTACAGTTAGTGCATGCTTTACTATTTGTTTGACCTCCTACAACGCAAATGCCTGGAAGATTACTTAGTAGAACTTTCACTTGTGTGATTTCTGTGGCATACGATTGCCATTATGAGCAGGGAAGTGTCTGAGTAGCATTCTATAACTCATAGCTATGCTAGGTTATTAAACAACGTATAAAACACTAATCCTGTTTGTTGCTAGGAAAAAAAATGCCAAATTTGGCCATCAAATCCTCCCTGCCAAGACAATGGTCACTTCATATCTTGAATGCACTGCTGATTATTGCCAGATTGGTCACACCAATATATAATAAGGTCACTGATGTTGGGTTTTGTGGGTTTCTAATCATAGTAAGTCAAATGAGGCAACTTAACAGTTTCCTCAGCTGTGGGTGGCTCGGTCTACGTCTGATTTGACCATGAACCCATATCCCTTACTATTGGTTTCCGATGTCTTCATCACTCTCACCTATGCAGCCAACGTCAAGCTGCATTTTTTTTTACTACTAGGTATTAATGTAGATTTAAACTCAGTCACTAAAATCTCATATTACTTTAACATTTTAATGTAATTGCAAAGTTTTTTTCTCTTATGTTCTACAGCTTTACTTAAAATAGTACCTGGTGACACTGCCGTAAAGATCCTTTTTTGTTATGATTGTATTCCTGCATTGTCACCCTGTCCCATATGCCCCTGGTGGAGACTGCAAGTGGCCATGCCAACAAATATTGGACAGGAATTGTCTGTCACTATCGGGAAGCTGGTTTAGACAAAAGATATGTAGTCTACGCTGTTAGGCAGATATGTAGACATGTGACTGAAAGGCCCCGTTAACACATTGGTGTTTTCGTCATGCGTAACTCTGTCCACTAAAGCGCACATATCAAGAATTGCCATTTTATTTCTGTAGCCCCCGTTCAGACCGGAGCATAAACCAGTATTTAATGAAAAAATTATAAGGCTAGGTTCACACTAAGGCGCAGCAATCGTGCACAATTCCGTGCGGATTGCTGCGCGGACAGGAGTTGCCAAGGTGTGAACTGATTGCGCTGTGGGTGCCATTATTTTCTAATGGCACCGCAGTCGCGCCGGGCGGATTGCACGGTTTCCAGGCCACGATTCCACCCATGCTTCCGAACACAATCGCGGTTAAAACAGCCGCGCTTCATGTATTGCAAAAAAGTGTCGCTTTAAATCAATGGGGCCACGTGGCAATCGCTGCCTGCATTGTGCAGGACTGTGCGTCACGGGTGTCGTGCGGTGTAGTTCCGGTGTGATCCTAGCCTAACTGTTAGATACACAGAGGGGAATTTATAAAAAGTTGAGCAGACAAAATCTGGATCAGCTTTGCACAGCAGCCAATCAGTTTCTCTCTTCAGTTTATTCAGGTAAGATTTTGAAAATAAAAGAAGTTGATTGGTTGCCATACACAGCTGCTCCAGATTTTGTCTGCTCCCCTTTTGATAAATTCCCCTCAGTGCTTTAGCAAACGAAATGTCAGATTGTAAATCTACTTTAATATCCAACGGATATTTTTTAACCTTGCTCTTGGCAGCAACTTACATTGGAGCGTTAAAGGAAATAAAGTTGAAAGTGACCTTTCTTGTCTGATATTTACTGGGCACCTTAGTCATGTCCTAATTTCAATGGTAGATCTTGAATTGCAGTCACTTTTTATTTAAATGCATGCTGATAATTGGAGTAGATTTTCTTTTTCAACTTACTCTTTGGATCGAGTCCTTGACTGTAGCTTCGTCAATTCACTTTTTAGTTTTTTGTGTATCAAATAGACACAAATGATTTAGTCAATTATCTGCAAGTATTTAGTCAATTATTTGCAAGTTTTAACTTTTTTTTTTTTTTTTTTCTCCTTTCTTTTTTTTTTCTTGTTTGCAAAGGTTGCAGAGTACGTTCCGGAAAAGGTTAAGAAGGCAGAAAAGAAGTTGGAAGATAACCCATATGACCTTGACGCTTGGAGCATTCTCATTCGAGAGGCACAGGTTTAGTGACATAGGATTACATTACGTTCTCTCAGTCCCAGTAATGGCATAACATTTCTCATGGTCTGTATACCTCTGTAATTTTGTACGTACTGTTTATTCAAATTTTAGAATCAGCCTATAGACAAAGCCCGGAAGACATATGAGCGCCTAGTGGCCCAGTTCCCAAGTTCTGGCAGATTCTGGAAACTTTACATTGAAGCAGAGGTTAATATTAATTTTTTTTTATCTTTTTTGTGGGTTTGCAAACACTACACTACATTGAATTTATGCTATTAATAGCGGTCAACACAAGTAGGACAAATTACCTTCAATAACTCTTCTTTCCTTGTAAATTGGGTTTAAAGTTTTAGCTGCTGCCTTTGCTAAAGTGTTACTACACTGATGATTGTTGCGTAGTGATACTGCAACAACATTAAAACATTTTAATTGTATGGAGTGCTTTAGACTTTTATTTATTTGTCGTGTCAATTTATTGCCTCCTGTGTCATTTATTGTTAGATCTAATCAAATTTCCACTTAATACTATTGCAAAATATTTTGAATGGTATCCAGGAAAAGTAGTGTTTTGTAATAAAATATTGTGTAATGTTTTCATGTGGGTGGTCTAAAATAATAACGTGTATTTCTTTTTAGCATTATGCAGTTTGATGTTATGCATGAGAATAACCAACATTTCTTCCTGCAGCTTTCATTCCAGCAGTTTATCACCTCCACAGATACATAATTTCTATTTAAAAGGTTTGTGGTACACTGACAAACACACAAAGATTGTTGGTCTCAAGGTAGCTGTTTGTTGAGGTGTAAACATATAAAATATAGAAAAACATTCAGAGAGCTTACCACATGTTTGATGGTTATTATATATTTTGTTAGTCACCAAACATTAAAAAAAATTCACAACAAAAGATAATAGGGCACTATTTGGAACTGTTCTACCTTACTGAAAGGATGGCAATTCTGGCATCTCTGTTAACGTTTTGTGTACGTATACCGCATCAGGATAGGTGAAGAGAGTAAGGGCTCGTTCACACCAGATGCAGTGTGTTCTGGCGAGAACGCACTGCATCGCATTGCGGCCGGCTCACTGTTGGCTGCACACGATTGCAAGGCACAAAATAGTGCTTGCAGCATTTTGACCGGACAGCAGGCATAATGTGCCTTGCGATCCCGTCCTGCCGGAGGGCGTGGCTACGGTACCATTCACTTCAATTGACCGCCACACCCCCTCCTGCTCCACAAAAAAGTGAGCCGGCCACAATGCGAGGCAGTGCGTTCTGGCCAGAATCGGGCCGGTACGCACTGCATCTGGTGTGAACGAGGCCTAAGGGCCTGAAAGTACAGATATGTATAGATAAAGTAACTTTACTCAGGCTATCTTTAGGTGGTATCATGGATCTCTAATTGGATTGTCCCACCACAATTCCTAGTTCTCCATTTGAGCATTTCTTTATTTATACACTAATCAAAGTGAACATTGTTTTACATGATTGGGGAGGGGGTCTAAAAAAACTGTAGCTTGAGTACAGCTGTTGAACATTTGAGTGTTCTATATCAAATTTTTATTAATCAGATTCATTGTCTTTGAGTGCAGAATATAAAAATGTTACACATCTGTCGCTCCAGCTTGCATTTATATGAATTTCACAGCTGTGTGTGGAAGGCCTAAAGTTGGCCGTGCATAAAGGTACATATTTGTTCCTCGGAAGTGAGATCTTCAAACATGCACTTGCACATATCTGGGTTTGTTGGGTAATCGAGTATTCTGGAGTCTTTCATTGTGATCCTATTTACCTCTGTACTGTATTTGCAGCTTGTTGCCAGTTTTTAGGTGGTAGAAAAGCTCAGATGACATTTGAATGTGTATGATGTGACTGTTGAGCAGACCTCAGTGGAGGTCTGCTGAGTTTTTTTTGCGTAGGTGTGGATGTTTGGGTTGGCTACGGAGTTCGAAGAGAGCGAATTGTTTTTTGCATGTTATGTATGTACCCAACATTTCTAGCGATAGGGGATAGATGATTGACTACTTAATTGTGCTCTGAAAAGCTTTAAGGATGGCCATACACTGTGGGTTTCGTCTGGCATCCCTTGATTAGCTGATCAAAAGAGCCAGTCAGAAAATCTTTGTACAAACAGAGCGGGCAATCAATGAGCTGCCAGTTCTGTTCAGGTATTCTGACCGTGGCTGCTGTCGTAATACAAAAGAAACGTCAGGAATTCTTCAATTTCAGGTGGCAACTGGGCCCCCTCCTGGCCATGGGCCCCCTCCTGGCCATGGGCCCCCTCCTGGCCACGGGCCCCCTCCTGGCCACGGGCCCCCTCCTGGCCACGGGCCCCCTCCTGGCCACGGGCCCTCAGGCAGTGCCCAAATGGTCAGTCCATCCCAGGAGATAATCTCTCCTGGGGATTCGTTCTGAGGACATGACATTTTGAATAAACAAGCACTTTGGATTACAATCTCCCCACCAGACGCACCGCTTGTCTTCTGCTTGCCGCTCAAGGGGGAGTTGCTGTGGTACCCTTGTAAAGACTGCTCTGATTGGCGGCCCTGTCTGCTGACCAGAAGTAACGGTCTGTGGGCCAGTACTTTGAGTCCCCCCGCTCTAAGAACTTGCTGTTACAAAAAGATGCTGGTAGTTGCCTATTGTAATGGAAGAGTCCATTTAAAGACTAATGCAGTTAATTGACTTTTAATATATTTGATATTAGTAACCTTATTTTCATTTACTCCCCAAAAGGTAGTTTTAAAGCAGTTTGTACTGTAATGAGGATTAGGGTGCCTATAGATTGATCAATATCATCTTGATAACTGTGGATGAGATTCCTGCTTTTCCTCAAGTGGCATGAGTTCTTGGACCCCTGGTGTTTCTTGATTAACAGTGAGACGCACACATTATTTTATTTTTGTTTCCTCTGCTTCATAGAGTTCATGCTTCACCTAATTATAAACATGCAGACTTGTCTAGTCAGTGGAGAATCCTACAGTGTGTGAGTCATGATTGTATTCCTGAGTTGTGTTGCAAAACTTTATTTTGTTTAGGGTGTGGAATGCTTAAAGCCTCTATCCGCTACTGTCCATGCTGGGAAAACCTCACTAAGGTTGACAGGCAGAACATGTGTATAGTAGGTTGGGAAAGGGTTAGAACAACTGTTTTTATTCATGTACCTGTTTTCTGTCCTGATGGCAGCTGACCCTCACATTTCTTACATGGGTGTCACAGGCAGAAAGTAAGGGGAAATCCACCTACAGTGGACGCCATAGAAGGGGATCGAAACTTGACAAATGACAATTCCTCACTCTATCCAAAATAATATATCTTGGCTAGAGTATGGCTTTATGGGAAAAAAAAGGAAAGGGGGCTAGAATGATCATGGTAAATGCACATTCTTCCTCATGGCACTCGTATTGAAACATTTCTACAAGTCTATCCAATTATTTTTTTTAATGGGTTTTAACAATATAATACTAATAAACACAGGTGACTGTCTTTTATAGACCCCCAGCTATTCACAGTACTTAAAGCTAATTCAAGACGCATGGCTAAAATATACAGTTAAATACCTCTGCAAACTGTTTACCTGGCAAAGGTATTGTTCTTTTCAGCGGGTAAAGTTTGTCACTACTGACTTCACGTCATTTAGGAAATACAGCCTGGTCTAGGATCTGCCCCAGCCCATGATTAGACAATGACGGATCATCAGCACACTCATGTTGTCTTCCCACTATTCTTCCCGTGTATGCACGCGTTTTGGTAAACTGCCAATGTTGTGCAAAGCAATAGAGGCTTCATTGGCTCAGGCTGCTGCTGCCTCTGTCTAAATCATGTGTTAGAGTAATTGTAAGACATTTGTAGGTACTTGTACTGTCTAGAAATAGACAATTTTTTTCTTTGTTTTCTTCAAGTTACAGCAGTGAAATCAACAGTTCATTTATGAGAATAGTACTGTTGGAGATAGTTCCAAAGACAGGTAGATATGCATAAAAGTAACATTGGGAGATGATTACTAGGATTAAACGGGCATTCTATAGTATACAAAAGAAAATAGTTGGAACAACTGACCGTTCAAGGCTCTCTGGCTGTGTGGTTGTTGCCTCCTGCTGATTAGAGAGATGGGTGGTTTGTTGCATTTCTAGAATAATGGAAGAAACAGACTATAGGATCTGAACATATTGAGGTGCTATAGGAGAGATTGAAACTTTGTTTTGGATTTTTTTTTTTGTGCGAGAGGTGTGAGATGCACAAAAAAAATTCACATGAGTTTGAATGTCTTGTGTTTCACAGAATCCCAGAAACTGAAGTAATGGGTAGCTCTGGAAAATATAGACCATCCAAAAGAGAGGGGGAGCACTGCACGATGAGGGGCGGTGGAGGAATGCAGATTTCTTATTCTAGGAGTCATTATATAAGTTCCTGTTGGATCCAAACTTCCCAATTTAAGGCAACACCATTCTAAGATTTGAGCCATGTGCTTGGCTTTATTGTATTAAATAGGCTCCAGGAAACCTAGACTTTCCTTGTGCTTGGGTATTGAGAGGTGAGCATTGCTTATTCTGTGTGATGACATAAGGATTAGTACAGTATAGAAGTCCTGATGAGATCATACAAATGTAATACATTCTCCTCACCCCCTTTAAAGCGGAACTTTTTCTCCTCCCCATTCCCAAAAAAACAAAATTGCTACCTCCACTCTCCAGCGAGGCTGGCTGCTGGTCTTCACAGTTGAATGATGGCCAGCATGATTCAGCCCACT